TTTTTTTTTTTTTTTTTTTTTTTTTTTTTTTTTACAAGCTGTCAAGAGTGAGCTTTCTGCAGGGCCTGGGCTGATCATTTGCCTCCCCTATGCCGTCTTTAGTGGCTCATGGACTTGTGGATAATGTTTTATATTCCCAGCTTTAAGGGCCTGGCTCAGTCAGCCTCAGTTCTGACCATTCCTTGCCTTGTGCCTCACATTTTAAGCTGCATATGGTGTCCCCAAGACACCTCCCTCTTCCCTCTCCTCTGTGTCTGTGGATATGGCATTTCCTCCCTTCAGATCTCTCCTCTCAGTGTCACCTGAGGAACTCCTGCTTGCTCTCCAGGTCTCAGGCAGACATGCTAATGCTACCTCCTCAGGATACTTCTCTGTCCCTCAAGGCCAAGGTGTTCCTTGTTGGTTCCATGACACTCTATGCTTACCTGTGTCTTACTTCTTGCTCTTAGCCCTTGCTTATCTGTCCTTTCCTACACATGGTTTGCTTAACACTAATTACTACCGCTCTGGAAGGTCGAAGTGGACAGATTTCTAGTTTTTGTAGCAGTATTATTTTTCATGGTGCTATCTCTCTAGGGCTGGTGTAAAGTGTCAGTTAGTTGGACTTTCAGGCTTTAACAGTGCCCTTTCTTAGGCTTTGGTTATGCAGGCTTCAGCTTGTGGAGGATTTAAAAAAAAATCTAATTGTCCTTTAATCTGCCTCTACTGGTAAAATGTCTAAGAATCCAGCCTGGAGCACTCGTCCCGAAGAATCGTCTGGCAGGACCGGAACACACTGTCGAGGTCTTCAGGCAACGATTACCCTGGGGCCAATTAGTTGTATGTTTGTTTTGTCTTTTAAACTTTAGACTCTTGAGCAACAGCTCCAGCAAATGAAAGCAACATATCAACTAAACCAAGAGAAGTTAGAGTATAACTTTCAGGTGCTGAAGAAGAGAGATGAAGAAAGCACGGTCATTAAATCCCAGCAGAAGAGGAAGATCAATCGGTAAGTGAGCAGGCAGAGCATCTTTCTTCCGGACCCTTGTAGGCTCAGAATAGGGAGGAATACGTACTTTTCTCTCCTAGGGGAGAAACCCATTAACTGTACAAGTCTTATTAAAAGTTTTTTGGGAAGGATAATACATTCAACCAGTTCTACTCTTTTCTGTCCTGAACCGAATATTCAGCAAAAAGTCCTTCGCCCATCTTCTATCTTGTTCCTCTAGAACATTTGTTTTTGTTTTCCCCCCAGAATTTCTTTATGCATACAGGAACACAAGCAAATATTTTAATTCTGCCTCTGCTTTCACTCAAGTATGGCTTCTGTAAGCACTGTTCTATATCTTGTAGATCTTTCCATTGTAGTTCAGAGCTTTCACATTATTTGTTTTAGAAAAAAAATTTTTTTTGGAGGGTACTGGGAATCGAACTTGGGACCTTGCAGTTGCAAGTCAGGTGGCAGAACCACAGAGCTAAATCCCCAGGCCTCACATTATTTTTTAAGCTGCTTGGTACTCCACGGCATAGATGGACTACGACTGATTGAACCAGTCTCTACGGATGGACATACAGATTGCTTCTAATCTTTTGGTATATTGCAAATAATACCAACACAACTACTCATTTCAATATGCCAATCTGCTTCTGTGGCTCTCTGAAAGGTACCCATTTATCAGAATTTCTCGCTCATCTTTTCTCTTTCCTCCCTTTTCACCTTCTGCCTTTCTTACTTTAAGAATTATCTGATTTCCAAAGCATTGTGTTGTGCTCTGAAGATTAGAGTAGAATAAGGTATCTCGTTTAAAGAAGACAGAATGGAGAATTTCTCTCAAAGCCAAGATAGGATAGTATTATTTAAGCATTCTTCCACTAGTAGGTTGACAAATATTGGATATACAGAGAAATGCCAGTTGACCTTTACATAGTTACTTATAAGAGAAAATGATACTGAAAAAATGAGCTGGCATCTTAAGGCTTATGACCTGAAAAATGAGAAAAGATAGGGGACAGTGCTTATGGAAAACTCCTCCTCCAGATGCTAGACGGGGAGAAGGGGGG